CATTCTATTCCTGATTAAAATCTTAAGGTTGAATTGGAATACTGTAGGAGGTTACCACTTTTTTTCATTTTATATATTTTTGTCCGAAAATGCAAATCAAGATTAACAGTTGACCCGAACCACCACAATATGCATAACATGAGTGCGCAAATAAACTGCACGTATAAAATAAATGAACGATTTTTAAAATCCACCGTTTGCATCTGTCTCTCGTCGGCCTCCAGGAAGAGGTACTATTTGTGTCTGCCTAGATCGGAGCGCCAAATAAAGCTGTGGCTCTGGTCATCTGTATTTTCATGTTTTTTTCTTACAAGTTGCTACGTGCAAATTATACCTAAGTGGCGGTAGACGGTCACTTCTTTGTCATCCGCGTTTATCTACACAAAGCGTTTATAAGGCAACACCCTTAAACCAGCTTGTGGTAGTAGGGATCTATAACGATCAAACCAGGCTTTGCAAATGCAGGTTGTTGGTACTGAGACATAGGATTTCATCCATACACCAATGTCAACTGCTACCGTCTAGAATAGTCCAACTATTTTCACACGGAATGGCATACATTTACTTTGTTCCCACTTAAGATTTTTTTACTCTAAATGACTCTATTGGTTTTGAAATTGGGTTCTACACAGCTATCGGTAAATGGTATGCGATTGTGCAAATGTCTAACAGCAATAAAGTAAATTCCTAGATATTTTATATGTGCTGGTTGACATATTGTTCATTTGGTGCATAGAAAGTAGCACTTAACACGTTTTTTAAGCTAAATTGTCAACTAGATAATTTGATCTATTGTCTATTAAATGGACAAAAAAATAAACTATACAGTGGAAAATGTCTCAAATATAATACATCAAACCACTAGGTCGGTACGCAAAGTAATACTGGTATCTAAACTTACTCGACCACAATCCACATCTTCGCAAATAAATTTGAGTTCTGGCTTCTATAAAATGAAGTGATGTGGAATAATTTTAAATCGATTTTCCCTTTCTGACTACGGATAGAGAAGTAAATATTTGCAGAAAACAATCAAAATGTAACACCACAAATGAAGAAATGGAAGCTTAAATGTTACACCGTGTTCTGTCCAAAGCACACAGTTTATCTATTAGAAAAACGATGTTAGTTAAAGTAGATTAGGTTATTTTCAGTCTATCTAACCCAAGTCTTTCTGAACTACTGTATGTCGGATCTGTCATTCAGAAACGGGTGCAGTCAACTACTAATACTTTTGTTAAAAACTCTAAGAAACCGTACTCGCCAAAATACGGGTTAGCTGGAACTATTAATCTACACTTATATGCAATGTGCATGAGGTGTAATTGGACATCGGATATCTTTATGATGCGAAATAAAAGCGAGAAGATATATGCTCTTTCACTTATCGGAAAGATGTATCCAATCAATAAGCTGGTTTTCTGAACACGATCGTTTTTTCTTGTATTCAGCATTTTCACTCTCTTAAAATTAGTATCTAATCAGTACTCAGTTTATCAGTACTCAGTTTATCAGGCACATATATATATATATGTTTGTATTTGCAGGGTGCAAAATATGCCTTCTTAAATGTGCAAGTTTATTTTTAATTTGTGAATCTTTTTGAATCCTTCTATGTTTTACAACTGCACAATGTTATTGCAAACTAAAAATCGTATATTTATGCGTCAAAAATGTATAAAAAAGATTCCGGAAACAAATGTATGACCAGTAATGATTAACGGTTAGCGCGCAGCAAAATATTTAGTTAAGACTTGAATTATTTAATGAAAACAATGAAGCAGATACATATGAGTAACTATTTGAGCCTCTGGAAAATTATAAAGAAAAGACGTATTCCATTAAATAGAATGATATCGTTCTCTAAGAGCGGTAGCGGTAGAGAAAACATCTTTCAACTAAATATTGCGGCATACCCTGCGCTCATTTGTGGATATATATCCAGTTTCAACACGCCTGCCAAATTTGTTGTAGAAATATCCAGCCTAGGGGAGGGAACGGGTGGGGCATGTCAGGGAACAAATCGTATTGCAATCATTCTGTAAAATAAAATGAGTAACGAGGTTGAGGTGGGCCTCGATCTCAGCCCTCAGGTGGGTACACAGAAATACGCTTTAATATCATCGCTACCCTCCCTCACCAGTCCAACGGCGAATGCGTGTATGTAGAGGGCGTGTGAATCAACTTCGGACAAGGTCATTGATGTATATTTTATAGTATAACCAGCAACATAAACTAGAAAAAGAAGGAGACGCAGTACAAAAGTTGTAAGATTGGAGAAAGCACCCCACTTATAATTTGTAAGTTTGCGATTATTCCCGCGGTTAATTTAAAAAGTCAATGTCGCTTAATATACTGACTAAAGGGGTATTTTATGCGGCGGTCTTCTAGGGACCACACTGCTGTTCACTGCCTTTG